TAGATTTTACAGTGCCAGTTGGCTTGACCAGGCCACGCCACAGCCTGTTAAGAAAATCGACGAATCGCAATATAAGCTCAACCAATTCTTGTTTTTTAAAGTCCTTAAGGATATACGCTTTGCAATCATTGCACCCTGGAAAAAAGAAGTGTAAAGAACTCTATGGTCACCAAATCACATGACATTCATGCTCATGAGTGTATGTAAACATTTGACCACAAATATATATTGATATTTGATATAGCATTTGTTTATAACTAGAATTATGAAATAATTACTTTTATCATTATCTTTCACATGATATGTTTTCTACCCCAAATTTAAACCCTCTGCATTTTTGTATGTTTTTTGTTCTGATCAATGACTGTAGAAAAAAAGTCATTGCCCTTTAAAATATTCATTTGGACTGCAGATACCAAAATGCATTTCTTTTTTCCGGTATTTTTGAACTGCCTTCAGAATAAAATTAAGTTTTAAAACATTTCTAATAAGGAATTTTCACGGTTTCTTCCATAGCTTTTCCATGAACAGCAACAAATAAAACAATGAAAAGATTACACATCATAAGACGTATGGAATATCTGTATGTTTATTATTATTATTAATGGTGGCGATAGTAAGTCGTAGTATTATTTATTTCGAAGGGTCATACCGGAAGTTAACTTGATTTTGCCGGCTAGCTGTATTATGGCGGTGCTAGAAGGAAACTAGATGATGTCTTTTATTTTGCAATGATTTATAGCTTTTGCATTCCCGTCCAGATTACAATATAGAGATATAAATGTGTTACTTCCGTATTAGTTTCTACGCATAGACACGAAGCTTGTTTGGAAAATCCGAGCGTTTCGCTTGCTGCTTGCTTTGCTAGTGTGCTCCTTGAGAAGTTTAGACATGTGCACACAGACGAAGGCGGCTGCTCTCATGGCCAACATACCGCAGGCAGACATCGACCCTTCCGGAGTATTTAAGTACGTCTTGATCCGTGTTCATAGCCGAGAGGAGGGGGACGACTCGGAGGTGGATATAGTCCGAGGATACGGCTGGGCTGAGTACCACGGTGAGTAAGGACAACGCTCAGAGCGCTCTGTTTTAGGCGTAAAATACACCTCCATCTGCACCTGGACGCACCAGAGATGTACCCCCGAGATCAAACAAACAAACAAACAGATGACCCAGCTTTGCTTCTGTCCTAATACTGACTCATCTCGAGGACCTGTCTCCCACCTCCGTGTTGTTCTTGATTGTCCTCCTACCCTCGCCATACCTACAGACTGTATGTAAACGATGGACATAAACAGTTGCCCTCCCAGTGGCTGTTTTGTTGTGGCCATAGTCAGAATTCATCCAAAGCTTTAACAACCTGTCATTAAAACATGGCCGCAGGTCATTGCACAACATGGATAGCATGCTGTTAATTAACATACGCTTGATCAGCATCACTTGTGAGATATTTTGTTTGTTTTTAATGATGATTGGACAGTGCATTGCTCTGAATTGTAGGACAGCATTATTCCCTGTCCTTTCATGAAGGACAGTGACCAGTGTATCTCCTGCTAAATGAGATGATAAAGGGAGGGACCATGTTGCAAATAATAATATTACTTATAACCAGCTTAATTAACCCCATCTAGATGGGACTGGCAAAAGAGAGAACCCAAATAAGTTCATATAAACACAGTTATACTGTTGTCACAAGACACACTCTAACAATTGTGCCCATTGATGATGAGGTCTAAAGTAAAAGATTTTCATGTCATTTCTCAAGTGTTGTATTAAAAAAAAGGTTATTTTGAGTTTCATAATAATTTGAATCTGCCTCCCCATAGTTTCCTGTTCTACCTCCGCATATAACCAACATTAGGATGTGTCTAGGTGTCCACAGGTGTGCGCACATGATTTCTTCCCTGAACTTTTGTTCACTTTGAAATCAGTGTGTGTGTGTGAGTGAGAGAGAGAGAGAGAGAATGAAGCAATGACTCTGATCCATCATAAGGAAACATAAGTTTTTGTCAGTGCAAAACAGGGTATAGTAAATGCAAGAGAGACAGGTGAGATATTTTAAAAGGGAAAAAACTGACAAACTGGACCTGAAAATATCTTAAAAGTTTATTTTGTGACCCAGAAAGAGTAAATGGCCTGTATTTGTATAGCGCTTTTCTATTCCCTAAGAACCCCAGAGCGAGTAAGTAGAAGTAATAAGAGTAATATTAAAACTAAAAGGAGGACGCATTTGTCGGCTGCATTCGGAGTCTACGAATTTGGACAGCCTTTGGTGCATCGCTGTGACGTAATCCGTCTACACATGCGGCCTCAGGAGGATGCAGCCCATGAATTTGGACACCCCCTATGTCCCTGTCCCATCCTGATCACGCCAAAAATAATCTTAACATGTTCAATTTAGCTACTTCCAGCTAGGCCTCCCCTATTTTTTTTTTTTAAGTTTTGTTTTTTCTTTTTTCTTTTTTTGCTACTTCACTCAATCCTATCAATCAATCAATTTATTTATAAGCACATTTAAAAACAACACAGGTTGACCAAAGTGCTGTACGTAGTAAAAAAAGTAAAAAGCATCACTCTGTGTTCCACTCTCTTCTTAATGTCTACCACAGCCATCCCAGTCCTTTTTGCATATCCACCACCATCTATCGTTCAACATTTCTCTCCTTAACACCTTATCGCCTCTGTTCCTGCATGTCCACTGAAGTCTACTTTAATATCCACTCACCCCCTCCTTCAGAATCACGCCTTCAATTTGCAGCTTCAAACTCATAATCCTGTCTGACAGTCTTCACCTCCACAACATTCTTCATATACTCTTGTCAAGATTACCTCTACTCTATTTTACTTCATATCTACACCATAGTAGAACTATCTCGATCCACCTCCAGTGCTTCTGGCCTCGCTTCCGTTCCAGCTGTTTTTCTGCACACACGATATATCTACTAATCTTCCCCCATTCATAAATGCTCTCTGTTTACCAGACAGTTTCTACTCTTAAAGTCCCTGCTCTCTCCTTCACACTCCTAATTTTCCTTCAGTCTCGCTGCCTCCTAACATGCCTTCTCCCTTTCCTTTTCCTTTGTCTTTGGCCAACACGAGGCAAAGTTTCAGCACAGTTTCTAAGGTCAGCCTGTTGGCCAGCAGCATCATTTTTACTTCTTTTTTTTGTCAGGGTAATATCTTATCTACTACTACTCTAAATTGCTATTCTAATATAAATATGTATAGTTTATATGGATTTCTTTCTATTCAATACAATTCATAATATAAATATTAAATGGACAAAGTAAAATGTATAGACTTTGTTCCTATTACCCAGTTATTAGTAAGTACATTAAGCAAACATTACTAAGAAATGAACAAAGAATTTCTGTGTGGCTCAAGCACACGGCCACAATATGCTCAAATATCCCTCATGCCACAGATAAAGTGCGGCCTAGAGAATCCACATTTCCCCAACCAGTCAAAAGATCTGTAGACTTTATGCATGGCTCTGCCCCTATCCCCTACCCAACCTCCACCTTTCCTCCGCTTTGTCTCTTTTATATTGTGGAGGAGGAATTATCACCACCTCCAGCCTGTTGTTGATAGCTCTGTGCAGACCATACATTAAGGCCTCACCATGCCTGCGCTTTCTCCTCAGGCTCAGCTTTTCACTTTTTCACAGTTTTGACCTTTTCTCCTCCCTATGAGCTGCATGACGAGCTTGTTGTGCTCCTCGGTTCTATAGGGGAAGCAAAGACACTGTTTTACATCTAATGTATATTTTACATGTCTGTGCACTCATTGACCGACTGCCTCATTTTGGTTTTGGAATTTTGTAATGAAGGGATGTTTATGTAATCCGTTGGTGCTTATTATGTAGTATTAGTACACAATATGGAGCCGCACAAAATATTATAAACACTGTATAATAACAGGCAGCCTTCAGGATAACCGCAGACTTTATGAATGCAATACTGATGGCTTTGCATTTAGTAATGACAGGTCTGTGCTGCTCTCTGCTGGACAACACTGAAAGCACAGTACATGCAATTTTATTTAACAGCTGACCAACCTCATGAAACTCAATGAACACTGGACACATCCACATACCAAGCAGGCATTTGAAATTATAAATAAAACTCCAGTTACAAACTCTAAGTCACCAAGCTATATTTTCTAAGGCAATAATTCATACTTTGATGTAGAAAATATTCCAAAAACTTTGTTTCTGTGTTGTATCCATCCTTTTCCCAGCTGACATCTATGAGAAGGTAGCAGAGGAGCTGGAAAGGGACGGGCACTTGGACTGTGAGTGTATAGGAGGAGGGAGAATCAAACATGACCCCCAGGCCAAGAAGATCCATGTCTACGGATACTCCATGGTGGGTGATTCTGATCTGTAAATACTGAGAAAGTATGAATACAATGATGGTTTTTGGGTTTTTTTAGTGGTTTAAATCAAATGTTATTTCATCTTTCTGATGAAACACTGATGTGTCTTCTTTGATCACAGGGATTCGGAAGAGCAAACCATGCAGTGACCACTGAGAAACTCAAGGTTCGGTATCCAGACTATGAGGTGACCTGGGATAATGAAGGCTACTGAAATAAACTTTAAACAGCTTCTACTTAATTCCCTGTAACCCTGGACTGATGTATTTTTTTTGTAACCCTTCGTTATCAGGCTAAACACATTTAGGATTTTTCTTTTTATTAATACAACAGCTTTAAGTTTTCACCTTCCTTCCTTGTGTAAAACATAACAGCTTTTCATAGTGTAGCTAATAATTTAATGAATTTGTCATGTGGAAACATTTTAAATAAATGACTGCCTGTGCTGGCTTTGCAGATTACCGCCTCTCCTTCACTGACTCGTTTTAGAGTCATGATCCCTCATAAATTTCTTTGGAAATTTAAGTTACAAAGCAAATCTTACAAGTTTTGATGTGGGGTTTTATTGTGAAATGTGTGCTTATATTATGTGCCTCTTTCCTGCAGAGCAGAAAAATGACAACACCCCATCTCTTTGCTTATCTTACTTTTTACAGCAGCTATGGTCCAGATTCCAGCGTGCTGTAAACTGTTGATTAAAATGGGCACAGTTGCTAGATAAAAGTAAATGAACTTGATGCTCCTGATTACTACCATTGTGCTGAAGTATTCTGAAATGATTCTGACATTCTGACATATAGGATCCAATATTTATAATATATACCCAAAAATCCAATATTCTGATATATCATCTGATATTTACCCAGTGTGCGTAGCACAGGTATTTCTCTTGATTTCTGACAGGTTTACAAAATGACTTGCATTTTTTTAAGCAATATAACTGAAAATAAGTGACTGAGATCATAAGTTCATCAGGAACATATTCACTGAGGTCAGGTCAGATTTAACAAGCCAATTTTCCCATAGACTTCCATAAGCCTGGAAGTGTTTGCAACCAAGGCTATTGCCATCTGTTGGCTTTTTAATTATCAGATATATGCTAATTAGTGCTTGTAGAGACTAATAAAATACTAGAATTTCACTCAACAAAACTGAAGAACAAACGTCTTGGGTAAGTTGTATCACACATAAAGACACATTATTAGTCAGATTATTCCATTAAAATGCTTCAAAATGGGCCAACACCACAAACACAGTGGAGATGAGCTCAGTGACTCAGTAGGGAGGTCAGGCAGTTGGCAGTTCTCAATCAACTGCAAATTTCTCTAAATCCATGACCTAACAGAATTGAGGGTTTGTTTGTTTGTTTGTTTTTTAAATTAAGCATGTCATACTTTATGGCTTAATGGGGAAAAAATGTTTACAAAATGAACACTGAATAAGACTTAAACTAGTGACTGAGGCCATAAACTTATCAGGAATAGGTTTACTGCGTTCATAAAGCAGGTGAACTAAAGCAAGGTGGCCCCTTGCTGCCATAACAAACAATACTGGTTTAATGCTGTTCCACACTGGCTTCCATTTTCAGATTTGGAAACTATGTATAACTTTTCTATACAGCATATGATCCACAGCATATTTATGCCAGGACAGAAACCTGACAACACATTTTTTATTCTACATATGTTCAAACAGTACCTGAAACACAATTCACAATGTATAACATGTGTTAGAAAATACATATTAATAATCAGTAAAGATAACTGTGGATAAAAATGCATTCAAATGTTTAATTTAAAATAGAGACAGTCATGTAAAAAACAAAAGAAAAAGACATTTTTCACAGGGCTCTAATGCAGTTCTGTGAAGGACTAAGTATCCTTACGGCTTCCATGGTAAGTAGCAGCTAGGTGCTCCTAATCTGATGCAATTGATTAATTGATCATCACTAAGTGTGAGCATCTCTTCCAAGAAGATTTAGCATTTTCCCGGTCGGAGCTTTCAAGTGTTAACACAGCGCCACGTTCTTCCCAAGAGTGGGCACCTCAGTAAATTCGACCCAAGGTCAGACCGTGCAACGCTCAGAGAAATATAAAACAAACCCAACAGCTACAACTTAGACTCTACAGACCTCAGTTAACATGTTAAATGTAACAACGGTAAAAAGAACATGTATGGTTTCTTTGGAAGGATTGCCCCGGCGTGCCATGGTCTCTTAGAAGAACATGGCAGCACATCTTATATTTGCAAAATTGCACGTAAACACACCACAAGTCTTCAGGACCTTACTCAACCAAAGTAGAGATGTTTGGTCATAATGTGCGGTGCCACATTTGAAGAAAACCAAACATGGCTAATGGCAAATGCCTTATACCAACTGCCACGCATGGTGGTGGAGGGGTGATGATTTGGGCTTGTTTCAGAGCCACAGGATCCGGGCACCTCTCCTGTCACTGAGTCAACCGTGAGCGCCTTTGAATACCAATGGATTCTAGAATGCAGTGTTATAAACTGCACCTATTAATAAAGACAAAGATAAATGAATCTACTGAGGTAATGATGTTGGAGTAATGCATGCGTGACTTAAAGCAGGATGCTGCCCATGTTTCTGTCTTAAATATCTATGCAGCATGACTGAGGTAAGCTAAAATCGCTTCCGTAAACTGCACTTTGCATCTGCTTTGCTCTGCATTTCTGTATCCGCCAAGTAAATGAGCAATGTCCGGACATCCGCCATAGTTTGTAGGAGATTATTTTATAATTGTTGGCTGCTGTTGCATGATGGGTGATTTTTAAAGTCCAACTGTTATCTCTCATGCACAGAGAAGAGGTCAGAGTCAACAATAAAGTCTCTGCAGGTTGTCGGCAAACCTTCAGATTGATGTGGTGCAAGAAGGGAGAAAAAGAAGATGTTTCATGTGAGGAGCTTAGCGCTCATTCTGCTGTGGGCTCTGCAGTGGGGTAAGAAAACCTTCAGTTAGATTTTAATTATGTGCAGCAATAATGGTGCTAACTATTCCAAACTGAACTTGTGCAGCCCTGCTACACATAGATTGAAATAATGTCTTGACAAGTCAGTTGATTTTGGATTTTTTAATCAAGCCACAGTCAGTAAAAAACTAAAAAATTAGTATTTGATAAAGAAGCCACAAGCAGTTGAAAGATTTTCTCTTTCATCTCAGTCTCAGATGCACAACTGTTGTTGCTATGGAGGTTTTTGCTATCTTTGGGAATTTAGGCAACCTGGCATTTGTTTTCCATCTGATAATTAAAGATCTACAGACAGAACAGACATGTTGAGACAGAACATATAATTAACCTTAATATTTAATATCACAAATATAAAGGATAAAGAAATGCTCAATGGGGTTTTGAGTATTTCACAACTCTAAGAGTCCAGAGAAGACTTCAATATTTCAGGTAATTTTTGATGTCAGGTAATAACTCCTTACTAAAAATGTGAGCTTTCATGTGTGATTTATTTTCTAACAAAATGATGATGTGATGTCTTCTGGGATATTCAGACTCAAAAATCAAATGTCTGGTGTCCTGTCTATTTTCTAGCTATTAGGTTACTGAATCATAAAGTCTTGAGTCTTAGTCAGAGACGTTTGGTTGGACAGATGCCTTCAGTGGATGGTGTCACCCTGATTACCTCTCTGCGGTCTTTGAGCCTGTTGGCATTAGATGGGTTGTAAACCTTTGAGTCATGAGTCATGAGAGAGTTTGGGCCTGAGTCACACACCCAGAAGCAAAGATGGAAAATATTTGAGTATTTTCAATCTTTGGCTGGAAGATATTTGCATATTTACATCAGCTCTGACAGGTTAAGGCTTCTACTAATAACCTGTTGTCTTTTAATAGGAAAGGCTACAGTTATTTTTTGCAGTCCATAGTGATCATTGGTCTGATTTTTGACCATCTCATTCACCCTTGATCAGCAGGTGTAATTTCACAGGACAAAAGAAAAAAAAAGAATTTTGTGTTTCATATTCTTATCCAGCTGCTGGCTCTTCAGCTCAGTCGTGTCAAGCTCCTGGGAGGAAATGTAACTTTGTGCAAGACTGTCCAGACTGGAGTGATGAGCAAGGCTGTGGTAAGTTTTAAAAATGTAATTTAGTCCCATCTATAATCGGATTTTTTTTTTTTTTTTTTGGTGCCATTTCTTGTCAGATTTATCTCAAAAACGGGAAAATGCTTCAGTGCTGAATATGCTGAATATTGTATTTATTGTATTTAGGACAGTGCATGTTATTGAACATAAATGTAAACAAAATTACATGAATGTAAACATACCAGATTATAGCCAAGGGCTAATTTCCATCTGTTGTCCTTAAGCATAAAATGTGATTATATGATTAGCATCACCCATAGATTTGACTTGACTATATCAATGTGATCATGTTACATGATCGTTATGGTCTCATTAAGCTTCTGTGGTTTATTGACATTCTGAAAGGGGAATTTTAACTAATTTTGAGATGCTGGTCACTTATGTTCAAATAAAACAATCATCATATTTAAGATAAAACTTAAAAGACCCTGATTTTGCATCTGTGGCATCTGCTTGCTACGGGAAAACTTAGCGGTTTCTAAGGTTTGGTCACAATTTCTAGATTTTATACCTACACAGCAGGAAAATTTTACTCCAAATTATGGTAGGGTAAATAGTTTTCTTAGTGGAAGACCTCTCCTGTAATACACAGTATTATAACAACTGAATGCTTTGTCACCCCTGTGAAAGGCTACAATGGAAAGGGGTTTGTGTGTGACTTTGAGGATGAAGGAATGTGTGGATGGGCTGACACGTCGCCCAGTGCACAATACAAATGGGAGAGACATCAGAGAGGGGAAACGGTGCCTGACAGTGGACCGTCCACCGATTACACCACCGGCACAGCCATAGGTATTGTACAGTCTTTTTTATTGTCATGTTTATAGTCAAAGCTGTATTATTGCAAGTATTTTAGAGAGTCATCCTGCATTAAACTGGAATGGTAATATCTTAAAATGTTCTAATCAATATGTCTTTTTACAAAGGTTGGTTCATGGGAATCAGTGCAGTGAATGAAGACTTGCTCCACACTGCAGTTTTAATCTCTCCAGAGATTAATCAGTCTTCAACAACGTGTCGCCTTCGCCTCAGATACTTCCTGTGGGACTCGGGTAATGATGGCAAATAACTGCATGTCATATATTTAGATAACCAGGTTTTTTCCTCTCCGTCTCTCTCTGTTAGTCCTGTTTTTGGTCATAACAAGCCCTACCTTTAAAAATGTACAATGTTTCTTTAACAATCTTTAAAGATAAAATGTATTTTCCCTGCAGCTGTCGTGCTAATGAATACTTTAATGTTTACTTTTTACTGTAGGTAACACCGGTCTGGGATCTACGCCCTTGTGGGCATCTGTCCTCTACCCAGGTGGTGAAGAGGCTGTTGTTTGGCGTCCTGAGGCCTCCAGTGTTCGTGCCTGGAGGGAAGCTCTCATCTTTCTGGGCCGGATTCCCTCAACTTTTCAAATCCGTCTTCACTCGCTGCGGTCAGTGGGACAAAGAGGAGATGTGGCCATAGACCAGCTGGAGTTTCTAGACTGTGCTCTTCCCTGTAAGCCCCTCAAAAGATCCCATTTGTCCCTGCCTTTTTTCAAGTCCTTGCAGAGTGTTTTACAATCAATTAATTCCAGTAAACTGATTCATAAGTGATAGTTTTTTATTTTCTCTTGATCATCAGCACCAGTCCCCGGGGGAAACTGTTCAGCAGGGATGGTGAAGTGTAACAACGAGGCCTGTGTGGAGGAGCGCCATCTCTGTGATGGCAGCGATGACTGTGGTGATGGATCTGATGAGCTCAACTGCAGTGAGAAATCTAATTTCACCTGAATCCCATAATAAATATGTAGGAATATTTTAGTCACAATACAAAGTAATAAAATTGGTGGGGAAAACAGACTTATTGTTCACAAAAGTTCAATCAAATTTAAAAAATGTCTGCAAATGTCACTGGAAGTACGTTCAGACACAGCTATAGTCCCAGTCGATGCGCCGGTGTGTACAAGCGTATTTTATTAAGAGTGTAGCACCACCATGTATTTTGATCAGTGTGCTAAAACCACTTTTGTAGTCCTAACCATCAGCTGACCTAACCAAAAATGTCATCATCATATCATCAGTGATTGACACGCGGCTCTTCGCTCTTGAATGGGACACCTGTGCACAGGGTCCTTTGTCCCTTTTAGCAGAAGTGACATAGAGTAATAGGCCTGTGCAATTAATACAAATTAAAACGTAATTACAATTATAATTTCAAGCATGTGTGAAAATATTGCTAAGATGCATTTGTTTTTTCTATGGCACTTCTTTGTTTATTGTTATCAAGCTAAAACTCCAAACTCAGTCTCCAACAGTGTGTGGCAGGTTTAGTTCAGATTGGAAGACAGACTGACTTTTGTCAACAGGAATAATAAAACGTGGTTAAAATAATAAAACTGACAAGGAACAACAAATCCAAATCCATTGTCAGTACGATTTAAAATAATCATGAGTGCCTTGGGTTGCAAAAAGAAGATGTGTTATTATATAAGGCAGTGGAAAAGCGGTTCTTGTGTATTTTGCTCAGTTGCCTCAGAATAAACATTCCTGTAGAAGCGACTCATATCAATATCATCTTTTAGCTTTTGTAAGAAATGCTGAAATCAGAATGAATCATCTTACATTAAATATCTTTGTCAAAAGGAGCTTTTTATTGGTAAGGACCAAACTGTCTTCATGTTAATATTTTAAGCAAAATTACTCCAACAAAGTGCTGCGGCTGGAACGGCTGCCATGTTTCCCAGTAACAAAAAACCTGATTTTGTACTCAGTACTTTGTAAAACAGAGTTTGCTTGAAGGAGGTTGCTTGTGATCGAGAGGCAACACAGGTATTGGGCAAAGATCGGTATATATTTTTAAATAATATTTATAAACCAGGTTTAAGGCTTTAAAAAAGTTGCCACGATGACCATGTCCATCTTTTATGGACAGTACACTTCATGATGATGAGTATTTGTTCCGTCTTTGTTTGTTGCGTCCCCAGCTCAATATGAGTCCTGTGACTTTGAGGAAGGCCTCTGCATTTGGGACCTAAGGTCACTTTCATCATTGAAATGGGTAAGGACAAATCAGACACAGATCACCAACACGGATCCTCTGAAAGGACCAGGCAGAGATCATTCTAGTAACTCAGCATCAGGTATGATATTCAGACAAATCAGAAGACCCTTTTGTATTTTTGCTACTGAAGCTATGCTATTACTCCTTACTGCTAGTATTTGAAATGCTTTTGTATTAGAAATAAAAGGCAGATTTAAAAAAATACTATGTCTTTGTTTTTATTTCAGGTCATTTTCTCTATGTTACGGTCCCTGATGAGGGTCTCAAAATGGACTGGGCCTCCTTCCAAAGTCGCTCTCTTGAACCCACCAACAGTTCACATCCTTGTAAGGTGAGTCCAAAACTGATGCCTTCGTTCTTCAGCGGCTTTTACTTTTACTGTTTCACAGTAGTCTGAAACATTCAAATGCTTTGAAAAGGTAAAAATGTGGAAAATGTTATTCACAAATTGAATTAACAGTCACATAAGGGTTATTGTTTTTAAAAAGTATACTTTCTTATTTAAAAAAAAAAGGGGGGGGGGGAGGAGGGCAGGGATAGCTCAGTAGGTAGAGTCGTGGCCCCATGATCGGAAGGTCGG